GAGGGCCGTTTCACATCAATCCGCGCCCAATACAAGTCATGACGACTGCCCCATCCTGATCATAATTAGGCTAAAACTAATCTGGTTTTCCTGGTGATCTGGCGTTCTTCAGCCGCGATGGGTGGGGTGAGTTCCGAGAACGACATTCACTCTGTTTTCGTTCAGCGCAAATGCTGCCGGCAAGCGACTTGAGGCCTTTTAAACTTATCGCGATAGTGGCTTGCGCGAACGATTTGAACATGCTGTCGGATGTGACCCGAGTATTTTCGGGTAGTTGGTTTTTCGGAATTGTGCGTCCCTCGACTTGCACATTCAATAGCATTCTCATGTGGTGAATAATGTGGCCGACGACTTCGTGGCGGATATTTTCATACAAAAATATCAAAATAGGCGTTCAATATCACACACAGGATCTATAGGATACGACACCATGATCGTACAATCATCTGCATAGGTAACGATCTATATGCAGTCTAGAGGGCGTGGAATATGGGAAAGGTAGAGTGTTAACAGTTCCGGGGATATCACTCCACCCTGGGGAACTCTCTGCTTCATTCTACGGGGTTTTGACTTCTTATTCCTGGACTCCACGTACGACAAGCGTCAACATAAATAGTTGATTACCCAACGTTTCAAACTTGGCCGAAGGGAAGTGCTCACGTTGTCCTCAAACAGTGTGGCATGATTGAATGCATTGCTAGGTTAGGCACTTCCAACAATGTTCTATGATTCTGGACGATTCTGGTTAAGTCCTCGACTTGTATGTGTGGAGATGGCATGGACACGCTGTTGTTGTGCTGTGTAGCTTACGGAACCCATGTTGGAGGAGTAACCCCTCAAGAGTCTTCGCCACTGGTGACAAAAGTGAAATAGGTCTGTAAGATTCACCTTTGTTGGCATCCATGCATGGCTTCACTAGCGCGACCACCCCGCCCATTTGTCCAGGCTTCGGGAACGATGTGTGAGGCTATCGACAAATTGAGGACATTGGACAGGTACTCAACTCCTGGCTCGTCCACTTATTTCAGCATATCGCGTCCTTATATGATGCTACATGCAACATCACTTTAGCGGTACCTCCTCCGCGGGAAGACATTTTATACGACGTAGTACTCTGCGTCCTATCGCTCTCGGTATGCTCGATAATTTTTCGGTTAAAATCACTGGAGAGTTGCACCATCTAACTCCTTGCCATGTTAAGAATGATGATAGGAACTTCGCATGATTCTTAACATGGTTCGAGATCGACTTAACCATTACCCACAGTTTACTTACACCGGTGCCGATGGTGCAACTCTTCAGGTGCTCCAACCATTTATTCCGCTTATGCTCCTCAACTTATCTGCCGACATCCAACGTGAATTCCCTGACCTTGAGATCTGCTGGGTTATATCGACGGAGCTCATCACGCTCATTTGCTAGACCAACTGATTCCGCTGGGTAATTAGGTCACAGAATGCGACAGCAGCAGCTGTAATGATGTCCCGGAATTTCCTTTCTGCTACCCGTACATCAGAAGGAATGGAAAGTTATCTGAAGCGCTGGTTGGATAACTATCTAACTCCTTGCAGGTGGCTTTCCTATGCTTAAGGAAGGAGTGGTCTGCTTATGGAGACGATTATTGGGAGGTGGTCTGAGGCAAAAGACGGCTGTCAGTTGACGTCATTTATCAGACATGGTGACACCATATTCAGGTGGGGTCATCCTCATTAACTGTGCAGAACGTGTAGCTATCAATTTGCTCTGCCAGCACTGTTCCCCTCCTGTCATTACCTGGGAGGCAATGCCACAATTTAGACGGTTATTGCCATACGATAGGAAACTAATGTTAGGCAAATAACACTGTTCACAGCTATTAATCGGCGGTACGTACACGTTAAGCACCTCTAACTCGGCTGTACCATATTTTACTGCTACCCCATACATTCCATGTGTGGATCACTGGAGTCAAACGAGATAGGTCTGTATTGAACAGAGTGGTGCATAAGGAATGCTAGGCCCCCACCTCTATTTCTGGTGCGATCCAACCTCAGAACGTTGTAAACTTCACAACGCTGTACTTTACAATTTTCATTGAGCTTGGTTTCCTGCACCGACGCGACCAAGATATTATTTTGATTCATGAAGTCCACAATCTCATCAATTTTTTACTGGAAGACCATTGCAATTTAATTGCAGAAACGATGCACTATCAGGAGTAGGAATAACAACGTGCCGTGTTAAATGCTGAATATTGGGTTGCTTTTAAGGAGACTGCGATGGAGTTGCGTACTCCGACGAAGAAGAAGACGTCGTGGACGAAAACTCGTTGGGGATTGCGCAGCACAGTGCAACGTTCCTGAAGTGCGGTTCAAATTTTTGTTCGATCCCAGCTCGGACTAAAAGAATCCGGAATAAGCATTCCGGAAATGTTGCTCCCAAAACAGAAAAACAACAAAAATATATATAATTGGGGTGGGTAGAACCCGTTGCCGTGAGATTGAGTAGCTGAAGGGGATATTTTTAGGGGAGGGTGCATTTGTAGAAGTGCTGAATCTATTCTTAATGTACGAGTTAAAGGAAGTCTTTATAGACGAACTAAAGGGAGTCTTTATCGACGCGCTCAATGGCGATTTTGTAGTGGATCTGAAGGCTCCGTTATTTGTATGCTGATTTCTATGTTTATAGACTTGTAGAGCTGAAGGGAGCCTTATAGCCGAATTTTAGAGTCTTTAAAGATACTCAAGATATGCCCTTCTACCTAAGCTTTAGAAATCATCAACTATATTCTTATTTACTATGAGTCCGGAATGACACGGTACAAACCCTATTGTAAGTTGCCGTTAAAAAGCTTTTTCATCCATCAAAGAAAGCGTAATGCTAAAATATAGCAATTTCAATATGGAACCGTGGCTATAACTTTCAGAACACAGATATTTGGGTGAAATATTTATGTTGGGACGTGGTCAAAACATGGGCCTATACAAAAGCTATGGTCCGCAACATGCCGAACTTTAAGGGATGCTTTGTATGTGGGTTTTTAAGATGCTCGGCTTTTATTGAAACATTTTTGAGCAATAAGGTTTTAATTCTCCAAAAATCTGCCATGACAAAGTAGAGATCCTCCAATAATTATTATATATCCAATAGACATGTGTGACCATCCGTTCGTCCATTATAATCTGTAAACACAATATAGGTCACAGCTATAAACCAGTAAGGAAAGTAGTAAAGTCGGACGGGGCCGACTATATGATACCCTTCACCACTATGGGTATATTAAACAGGACTATTAACATGAAATTGGATGAAATAAAATATGTGATATTTATCAAAATGTGAATCTACCTAGATCTATCCATAAACATGTCATTCGTTTGTTACAATGGGACAAAAGTATGTAAATCGAGTTCAAACAAATATAAATAGGTCATCCGTTGGGTAATTCTATGCTCAATTTTGTTCGTTGTGCAAAATTTGATGTCAATCTGACTAACATGAGGATTTTGATGCCCAATTTACTTGAAATCGGGCGAAAAAATATATGAAAGCTCTATCCAAATATTAAGCGATTTTAAACAAACTTGTCACAGGTTAGTTTATACTAATTTCAGAACGTATTGTTCCTATCAGCCTATTGGTTTCTTGGTGCGTCAATTACTTAAAATCAGTCTGTAATAAAAGGGAGCTATATCTAAATCTGGACCGATTTCTACGAAACTAGGCAGACATCACTCTAGGCTCAATTCAGTACGTTATGCCAAATTTCGTGCAAATCGAATAATATATAGGGACTTTGGTGCACCATTTACATAAAATCGGACGAAACTATATATGGGAGCTACATATATCTAAATCTGGACCGATTTTCTCGAAACTTGGCAGACATCACTCTAGGCTTAATTCAGTACGTTATGCCAAATTTCGTGCAAATCGAAATGTATATAGGGACTTTGGGGCACCATTTACATGAAATCGGACGAAACTATATATAGGAGCTATATCTAAATCTGGACCGATTTTCTCGAAACTTGGCAGACATCACTCTAGGCCCAATTCAGTACGTTATGCCAAATTTCGTGCAAATCGAAAGATATATATGGGCTTTGGGCACCATTTACATGAAATCGGACGAAACTATATATGGGAGCTATATCTAAATCTGGACCGATTTTCACGAAATTTGGCAGACATGCGACCTGTACATTGTTTACAATTTAACATGGACAGACAGACAGACGGACGGAAGTGATTCTATGCATATTCTCAAATGGAACCATGTGTCTATCTCGTTTCCTTTTACCTGTTGCTAACATATGCAAAAAGACATAATACACTAAACCACAGTGTGGTGAAGGGTGGTTATACCCTTCACCATACTATGGTGAAGGGTATAACCACCCTCACGAAATTTTGCGTGTAGGATGGGTTCTTGCAAAAGAAGACCTCTATTGTTCTTGGTCATGATCCGTTGTCTATTTTTCTGTGGTTGTGAGACACCAGACCATGAGAACAAAAAATTACTTAAAATATTCAGGAACTCAAAACATGGACCTGCCAATTTTTCGGCCTACATGTTTTTTAGCCAGTTGAAAACCGTAAAACTGAATTACATCCATTTTGGTGGGGGAAATATTCCCAAGGCCTTTTAAATGCTTCAAATGGTACGTGGTATATGGGTGGCTATGTCAAGGCTTGGCCTATTTTGACATTAGGGATCCGGTATGTGCAAAATAACAAAAGTGAGGAGTGCAGTTATATCTAAATCATCAAGTTTCAAATTGTCTAAGTGGCCAAAAAAAGGTGCTGTATTTCTTAAGCTTCTTAAGCTGCTTTATTATTGAAAATCCATAATGATATTTTCTAATGAAATATTCTTTACAAAAGTACACCAACAATTCACTTTAAAATCGTTATTATTTTTAAATTCCAATTTTTTTTAATTCATTGAGAAATTCTTTTGGATCTCTGCTCTTGTTCGTTACTAAATTAAATTCCACAAAATTAAAATTAAATAATAATTACAATTCCGTATTCTCATTCTTCATCGCCATCTTACCTTTAATATGTGTCATATATGTATCCGAACGATCAATGACATTATCCTCATCATCCATATCGAAATAATCATCAGAGAATGTATGCACCACATTGACATTGCCAGCCTGTTTGGTGGCATGACGATTTTCTTCAACTGATTTTTCTGTAGATTTCCAATAGACATCGTGTATGTGGGCTGTACAGCGTATCTGCAAATGAAGGAAAAAATAAACAAACACATTCGTAAATGAACAGAATCTCATTAACAAAACCAGCTTGAAGTGAGCAAAGAAAAAAATTATAGCCGTTTAATTGATTAAGAAAATCTGATATGGAGTATTGGTTTTTATTGCAAAGAAAACAAGCCTATCCCAGCCGAGCTGGGACAAGTCCAAGTGTATATAAAAACACGCCAATAATCAATGAAACCCCTCTCAACTGACTGGCAAATGATTTTGAGATGACCATTGAATGAATTTTATTCATTGACGATTATCATTGATGTTCAAGCAATGCTATGGTAGCAACATCAGCGGTATAAAGGAAAATAATTTAAATAATCAGATCCACCCAATGCCTGCGGCTATGAAAATGAGGAAACCTGGCAGCCTACCGGCTATAGACATTTTCCTTTCCTTTTGGCCATTAATATGGTAAACATTTAATGCTTTATGGTCGATGTTGCTTGTTATTTTCCTTTCTCTGTAGTTGTTCCTTTTATTGTTGTTGTTGTTTATTTTGACTTTCAATGAATGACAGTTATATTTACCACTTGATGTGGTTAAACGCAGAGAAAATGATATAACGCCATATTGACTTATGTGAGGATGTGAGTGTATGTGTTGGTGTGCGTATGATATACTTATTTATATTGCATGTCATGAAGATGATGTTCACAGCAAATGAGCTGAAGATGTTCCTTGCAAAATGAAAGAATATATTAGGGTGGTTATGATCGACTTACGAACAGTAGACTTCGGAATAAATTATTTAAACAACCTAAGTTGAAAATGGACACCATAATCGTTTGGAAAAAAATTCTTTAAAAAATCCACGCTTATGGGCCTTATGGTCTTTGGAAAAAATTCTTTAAAAATCCACGCTTAGAAAAAATTCTTTAAAAAATGGGCCTTATGGTCTTTGGAAAAAATTCTTTAAAAAATCCACGCTTATGGGTCTTTGGAAAAAATTCTTTAAAAAATCCACGCTTATGGGTCTTTGGAAAAAATTCTTTAAAAAATCCACGCTTATGGGTCTTTGGAAAAAATTCTTTAAAAAATCCACGCTTATGGGTCTTTGGAAAAAATTCTTTAAAAAATCCACGCTTATGGGTCTTTGGAAAAAATTCTTTAAAAAATCCACGCTTATGGGTCTTTGGAAAAAATTCTTTAAAAAATCCAAGCTTATGGGTCTTTGGAAAAAATTCTTTAAAAAATCCAAGCTTATGGGTCTTTGGAAAAAATTCTTTAAAAAATCCACGCTTATGGGTGTTTGGAAAAAATTCTTTAAAAAATCCACGCTTATGGGTCTTTGGAAAAAATTCTTTAAAAGATCCACGCTTATGGGTCTTTGGAAAAAATTCTTTAAAAAATCCACGCTTATGGGTCTTTGGAAAAAATTCTTTAAAAAATCCACGCTTATGGGTCTTTGGAAAAAATTCTTTAAAAAATCCACGCTTATGGGTCTTTGGAAAAAATTATTTAAAAAATCCACGCTTATGGGTCTTTGGAAAAAATTATTTAAAAAATCCACGCTTATGGGTCTTTGGAAAAAAATCTTTAAAAAATCCACGCCTGTTTGCTTTGAAGGTTCCTCGGGAAAAATCCACGCCTGTTGCTTTAAAGGTTTCTCAGAAAAAAATCTTTAAAAAATCCACGATTAAGGGCCTGCATGTCTTTGGAAAAAATTATTTAAAAAATCCACGCTTATGGGTCTTTGGAAAAAATTATTTAAAAAATCCACGCTTATGGGTCTTTGGAAAAAATTCTTTAAAAAATCCACGCTTATGGGTCTTTGGAAAAAATTATTTAAAAAATCCACGCTTATGGGTCTTTGGAAAAAATTATTTAAAAAATCCACGCTTATGGGTCTTTGGAAAAAATTATTTAAAAAATCCACGCTTATGGGTCTTTGGAAAAAATTATTTAAAAAATCCACGCTTATGGGTCGTTGGAAAAAATTATTATAAAAAAATTATTTAATAATTATATAAAAAATCCAAAAAATCCATCCAAAATTATTATAAGAAAAATATTTAAAAAATCCAACAAATCCATTATTTAAAAAATCCACGCTTATGGACTTTCTGGTCTATGGCAAAAATACTTTAAAAAATCGTCGCTTATGGGCTTTTGGTCTTTGCCAATAATTATTTAAAAAATCAACGCTTTATGGTCTTTGGCAAAAATTGTTTAAAAAATCCACGCTTTATGGTCTTTGGCAAAAATTATTTAAAAATTCCACGCTTATGGGCTTTTGGTCTTTGCCAAACATTACTTAAAAATTCCACGCTTATGGGTCTTTTTGTCTTTGGAAAAAAATATATATTTTTTTTAAATTCCACGCGTATTGGCTTTTGATCTTTGCCAAAAATTATTTAAAAAATCCATGCTTTATGGTATTTGGCAAAGATTCTTTAAAAATTCCACGCTTATGGGCTTTGGTCTTTGTCAAAAATTATTTAAAAAATCAACGCTTAAGGGCCTGTATGCCTTTGGAAAAAAATCTTTAAAAAATCCACGTTTATGGGTCTTTGGAAAAAATAATTTAAAAATCCAAAATTATGGGTCATTGAAAAAATTATTTAAAAAATCCACGCTTATGGGTCTTTAGAAAAAAATATTTAAAAAATCCATGCGTATAGGCCTTATGGGCTTTGGAAAAATTAATTAAAAAATCCACGCTTTTGGGCCTTATGGTCTTTGGCAAAAATTATTTAAAAAATCCACGCATATGGGTATAATAGACTTTGAAAAAATGTATTTAAATATCCACGCTTTTGTTTCTGATAGACTTGGAAAAAATTAATTTAAAAAATCTATGCTTTTTGGTGTGATAGATTTTGAAAAAAATTACTTAAAGATCCACGGTCTTTGGAAAAAATATTAAAAAAATCAAGGAAGGAAAGCTTGAGGCAACCTTTCCAATATACCCTAATGTACACATTTTACCACATTCTCATTAACTTATCGACGTTCAAGTTGTTGTCTTATATCACATCCTAGTGCATACACCAACACACACGTACATAGATATGTATGCAAACACTTTTGTGTATTTGAGCATGCAATTATTTACATATACGTTATGAAGATGTGTGCGGTTTCTGTTAAGAACATATGACTGTATAAGTAATTGAGAGCAACAAGATGCACATGATAGCTCTGGATGAAACCTCTAAATCAATAATTGTGGTAATAATTGTGATAAGAATCTTGGAAAATATATGAAATTATAATCCGGAAAGTTATATGGAAATATATTAAGACTTAGACAATTACTTGGTATTCAAATAACGATAATCAAACATAAAAAACAAACCCAAACATTTAAATACCTCTATATAAGAAAAATGAACCTAAACCATTTTCAGAATAAACGACATAAATGTATCGTCTCAAATTTTATCTCATTTGGATAATAAATGCCACATGTTCTTGGCTTCAGAAATACATTGACATACTGACATGCATTAATTGACTTAGAAAGTGATTGCTAGTATATTCTTAAAAGTAGCAATGGGTCTATATAGATTAGTTTAGTATCATACAACGATATGCACAAATCCATAATATTCGAATTTCCCGGAACTCCTTCCTGATAGTATTCACTTTCCTTACTCAGAACCATACCTATTTGTTACAAGGTGTAATGTATGTGCCTATGATACATGATAATACGATACATGAAAATTGTGGGGTTGTTAAAGCTAACTTAACACCACTACAGGCATTTATAAAAATTCTTTCTGTGATTTTAGAAATGGGGTTTTTCAACTGCTTCTCGCTTATTGTGTTCGAGCATCAATGAAAACCTTAATATATTCATTGTGAAATTCCCTTGCTGTTGGCATGACCATCTGTCTCATAATATCTGGTAGTAAGACCACCAATGTAACCTCTATATAAATGAATCCTTCGATTTTGAAGTACATTAACGGTCATAATGCGATCGTAAATGATTTTCAGTGTAAAAATCAATAATAGATGTTTGTGTATTTCTTATCGATTTGATTAAAAATTACTACTCAAAAATGGGACTTTACGGCATATAATATGAAGCTTCGGGAAAATAGAAACACTATGCTACAGCAAATTATAAGTAATCACGTTTTACCAAGAATTAACCAATAAGGAATGTAGTAAAATCGGACTGGGCCGACTATATGATACCCTTCACCACTTTGGGTATATTCTACATATGTATCCTAAGAGACGACGCCATTTAGAAGAAAAATTGACATGATATTGAACGAACTTAAATATAAATCGAATCCGATTTTCTCGAAACTTAACACACGAGCTATGGTAGACTGATTTCCATCTCAAATGCGCGAAAATCCCCATAAACATGCAGAAAAACAATATCAAGTGCAACCAGTAAGGAAAGTAGTAAAGACGGACTGGGTCGACTATATAATGCCCTTCACCACTTTGGGTACATATGTATCCGAAAAGACGTCGCCTTTTTGAAGAAATTTTGACATAAAATTGAACCTATGCTCAATTTAATTTCATTTGGGCAAGTTTAGAGTCGTTTACGCACAGTGGGACAGATTTGTGTAAATCGATTTAAAGCAAACTTGACACACGGTATTCGGTATGCTGCACTGTTTAAAATTTAATCTCAATAAATAAGTCGAAATTATATATGGAAGCTGCGAGATATCTATATCTGAACCGATTTGAAGCAAACTTGCCAGTGATTAATTTATACTAATTTCAATACGTTGTGTCAATCGGCCTAGCTGTGGATCTTTAGTGCACAATTTACTTAAAATCGGACGAAAATATATATAGGAGGTGTACACATCATTCCAGACTTAATTCAATACGCTATGCCAAAATTCGTGCAAATCGAATGATTTTCCGAGACTTTGGTGCACCATTTACCTAAAATCGGACAAAACTATGTATGAAAGTTATATCTAAATCTGAATCGATTTTCAGGAAATTTTGGACACATCATTCTAGGCTCAATTCAGTACGCTATACCAAATTTCGTGCAAATCGAATCATATATAGGGACGTGGGTACCCCATTTACCTTAAATCGGACGAAAATATATATGGGAGCTATACCTAATTCTGAACCGATTCTCACGAAACTTAGCACACATCATTCTAGGCTCAATCCAGTATGGTACGCCAAATTTCGTGCAAATTGGAAGATATATAGTGACTTTGGTACACCATTTACCTTAAATCGGACGAACATATATATGGGAGCTATATCTTAATCTGGACAGATTTTTCCCAATTTCAATAGGGTTCATCCTTGGGCCGAACAAATGAACTGTGCCAAATTTCATCCAATTCGGATCATAAATGCGACCTGTACTTTGTTTACAATTTAACATGGACAGACGGACGGACATGTATAAATCGGCTCAGAAAGTGATTCTATGCATATTCTCAAAAGGAAAGGTATATCTCGATTATTTTTGCCTGTTACAAACATATGCACAAAGACATTATACCCTGTACCACAGTGTGGTGAAGAGTATAAAAACACAAAATTTCGGTAAATACTCTTGTCATGAGCAAACAAATACATAAACGAAGTTTTTAGAAATACTTCAACGTACAAAATATTCAATTATAGTAACTTTAGTACATTGTACAAAATTGTGTGCCTGTCACCTAACCTTGGTCTTTAGTGCATAATTTACATTACATCGGACGAATATGTCAAATTTCGTGCAAATCGAAAAATATAGGGGAAAATTGGAGCCCATTTACCTTAAATCGGACGAAAATATATATGGCTGCTATATACAAATTTGACCCGATTTTCTCGGAATTTGGCACACGTTATTCTCTCAATTGAGTACACAATGCAAGATATCACGCATATCGAAAGATATATAGGAACTTTGGTGCCCCATTTACCCTAAATCGGACGAAAATATATATTTGAGCTATATCTAAACCTGAGCCGATTTTCTCGAAACTTGACACACAACATTCTAGACACAATTCAGTATACTATGCAAAATTTCTTACAAATCGAACGATATGTATGGGCTTTAGTGCACCATTTACCAAAAAGGAAACGAGAAAGACACATGGTTCCTTTGAGAATATGCATAGAATCACTTTTTAAGTCGATTTCTGCATGTCCGTCCTTCTGTCCATGTTAAATTGTAAACAAAGTACAGGTCGCATTTATTATCCGATTTGGATGAAATTTGGCACAACTCACTTATTTGGCCCAAGGACGAACCCCATTGAAATTGGAAAAAATCTTTTCAGATTTAGATATAGATCCCATATATATTTTCGTCCGATTTAATGTAAATGGTGTTTATCTTTCGATTTGCACGAAATTTGGCACAGCGTGCTTAATTAGGTCTAGAGAGATGTGTGTTAAGTTTCCTGAAAATCGGTATAGATTTAGATATAGCTCCCATATATATTTTCGTCCGATTTAATGAAAATGGTGTACCAAAGTCCCCATATATCTTTCGATTTGCACAAAATTTGGCATATCGTAATGAATTAGGCCTAGAATGATGTGTGTTAAGTTTCCTGAAAATCGGCCCAACTCCCATATAAAATTTTGTCCGATTTAATTTAAATGTTATGTATATATGTATCTTTCGATTTTCAGGAAATATGGTATAGCGTAATAAATTAGGTCTAGAATTATGTGTGCTAAGTTTCGTGAAAATCGGTTCAGATTTAGATATAGCTCCTATATATTTTTTCTCCCGAGTGTATGGAAAATTGTGCACTTAAGACCCAAAGTGTGTCTGGTTGCCACATAATTTGGTGGAATGAACTGTAGTTAATAAAAGTTAACCTCTGGCAAGTCTCATTGAAATCGGTTCAGATTTTGATAAAGATTCTACAAGTATATTTTCGCCCAATTTTACACATAATTGGCACAAATTTTGCACAACGTACTGAAGTTAGTAAAACCTAGAGGTTGGATATAAATGCTTCGTCAATGTGGGTTTAATCGGCACAAAATTTTGCACTACGTACTGAAGTTACTATAACATAACTTGTGGCAAGTTTAGTTGAAATCGGTTTAGATTTAGATATAGCTTATATATATTGTTTGGTCAGATTTTAAGTAAAAGGCGCACCAAAGAGCCAAAAGTGGGGCCGTTTGCTACAAACTTTTGTACAATGTATTGAATTTAGTATAGCGTGCCGTGTGCTAAGTATAATAAGAATCGGTTCAGATTTAGATAAAACACCCATATATAGTATCGTCCGATTTTAAGTAAATTGTTCACCAAAGACCCAAAGGCAGACCGATTGACACAAAATGTTGGACAACGTACTGAAGTTAATATAACCTAGCGTGTGGAAAGTTTTGAAATCGGTGCAGATTTGGATGGAGGTCCTTATATATATATATATATATATTTATATCCTTTACATTGCTTTATATAATTTTGTCTCATTTTAAGAAACAACCAACCATATATCTGATCAAAATGAAAAATTTAGTGTAGGTTGCACTATGACATGTTTACGGATCCATTTTAATTTTAATGTTCCCCTTAAAAATTCGACGTCTGTTATGATTCATCTGTTGAATATAACCAGAGTGGTGAAGGGTATCATATAGTCGGCCCCGTCCGACTTTACTACTTTCCTTACTGGTTTTGGTTAGAGTTTATAGTCCCTCTAGAGTCCATTGTTATATGCAGAACATCACACATTTTACAGGCGATCTGACAAAAACTTAGATGATAATCGGTCAATATTCCGAGGGTAAAATCAACCAAAACCTGAAGTGACGAAATATTTATTTTCTGGGATAAATATTAACCTCGAGAAAACGAGATTTGGAAAATATACCAGGGAGAGAAAGTGAATCTGTTATCCTATAATCGGTCAGGAGGTCTCCAAGACGTACGCATACAAAAGATGTTTTGACAATGAAAATTCTCACTTTGTATGGCCAATAGGATAGAAAATATAACTACGACCGCAGAAAACAAATGAGAGCTATTACAAAATGTAGACTTATAGCCAGGACTTGTTGTCAGGGGGGTTTCCCACTGCCACAAAAAATTTGAAAAAAGTAGAACCGATTCATATTGAAATTGCGGGTCTACCTGCGAAATTAATTTGTCTTTGAATAAAGGAAGCTAAATCATTACTTCGTATATTAATACGTTTGTAAGTAAGCAAATGATGGTCCGAAATGTTCAAGTCGTCTTGAAATGATGTTCGAAATGGAGGGATTACATAAGGAGAAGAGATAGGCGTAATACACATTCCAAAAAATATAATGTATATAAGTCTGAAAATTGTATCTAAAGTAGTGTCGAGTGAATGGATATGAAACCACAAACGCATAACATTACCGGATCGAGAGTGGTCTCTATTAGAACATTGATATATCTAGAAATAGTCACTTTAATTATTTAAACCCCTCCATGAAATTCCCTTTTATGTGATTTTCTTAGAAATTTGTGCCCCTTCTCATCTCAAATAAATTTCCCAAACTCTACTACAAACCTATATCTCACTTTCCGTACTAAGTGGAAATTTTATCCTGAAAGGATATAATTATAACCACAAGCAAACAAAAGCCACAGAATACAAGGCGCAAAAATTACAATTAACCATAAAATGTTACCATGGACGTGTCATGAGTTCTAAATGGACAACCCACCAAAACTAGAAGCTGAGTTAAAATAAAGAGGACATAAAACAATTCATTGGCCATAGAGGACATCTGGTCATTTGGATGTTGTTGTTGTCGTCGTCCTCCTCGTAAAATAATGCTGCATCGGCCAACAATAACAAACAATTAAGCGGCCAAATGTAATGTTTTTTATTGCCTACATGAAATGACTATAGAAACGGCCCAGTGTGGTCATGATGATGACAATTATGCCCAAAGAAGAGTCTGGATAAATGTCCTTTAATGAATTCCAATGTTTAGAAGCATGTACAATTAATTACTTAATATTTAAACATACATACACCCAAAGGAGATAAGCAAAGGACAATGGTGATGGCTTTGCTACAAGGGCTAGATCATGTTTAACAAAAGGATTTGTTTTTATATTAGCCTAGATGGGTGGGAAACTTTACCAAATTGATATTTCCTCTAAGTCGTCTCCGTCGTCGTTGAGGTTTTCTTCTTCTCTTTTTCTACTACTGCCACAATCACCAGGTAAATAATGGCCCATAACTCGGCAGGGTGCAGATTGTACATTTGCATTTGCTGTACGAACTCTTAATAGTTCGACATTTATCACTTTTAAATGGAAAAACTTGCTACTTTTTATAGGCCCTACACAGGGATATTTAGGTTTATGGCCACCTCACTTAAGCATACCCTAACTATAGTTTGTTTGGAACTTAGACAGCTGTTTGGCTCAGTGGTGGATACCTTATTGCTAGCTGGCTGGCTCGCTTGCTGTGTTCATTTGGCCATTCATTCCTTTTGACAATCAAGGGATGATAATTCAACTTTTATGGAGATTCTAACTCTCGATACTTACTTTTAATTTGCCATAAATAAAATGTTGCGGTGTTACCACAAAATGTATGCCCGATGTTATTGTCTCCATTTCACGTGTATCCTTTACAGGTTTGTAATGTTTAATGTGTACCGGATTTGTCTAAAAAAAGAAACAATGGAGAAGAAGAAGAGGAATAGTGAGTATTAAGGCATCACAAGATAAAAGTGTTAATTAAAAGTTAGTTGAATAATAACTGTAATTAAGTTAATGTTAAGTAGTATATAACAATATGAAGTGTTTTTCATAGAAAGATGAGAACAAAGTGGGGGAAAAACTACAGCTGCTACATAATGTACAATAAGTTTTGTGCATGAATACTTATACGCTGCCACTTCAAAATAATCTAATACAATATACATTTTATTAAAAGCTCAAAAACGTATGGAATTGGTCACAGTTCATATGCCACCCGAATGACGTGGTTCAGATTTCGTTTAAGTCGGTCTTTGGTGCACTATTTGCATGATATCGAATGAAAAACTATATGGGAGCTTTGTCTATATTTGAACTGATTGTCACCTTAATCCCAGGTTAATCTTGGGGTCAATAAAATAATTCGTGCGATATTCGGTAGCAATTGGATAACACATGTGACTTATACTTTCTTGAAAAGTACATGAACAAACAGATGGACGAACATGTTTAAGTCGACTTAAAAAGTGAATTTTCAGAACTAACTACTGATCTATCTACAGTGCAGAATTGGCTGAGATAATATAAAGTTAAACAAGTGAAAAAGCGTTAAGTTCAGCCGGACCGAACTTTGGATACCCTCCATCATAGATATGCTAACGTACTAGAAATGAAAATGTAAGGAACATACCAAAAGGTGGCATTTCTAAAGCCGGCATTTCTATAAACGGATTATGTAAACCAGAAATTTTTAATGGATAATTATACCCTCAGCCTTATGGCTTATGAGGGTGTATACACTTTAACACGGTGAAAATGTGCCTCTAGACCCCATGTTTCTTTGGACCAAATCCGTTTCAGAAAATTTAGATTTCATCCAAACTTTTCCCATCCTATTATTTCTTCCAAACATAGTTCAAATTCGAAGATGGAGAATATCGGTCCACTCCTTCTGGAACCTACACAAAGGGGCTAGATCTAAATGCGGCTATAGTTCATTATCGAACCTTACGTTCTAATTTTTTATCTCGCTATCCTTCGCAGGTGAAATGATTACAACAATATGATTAGAACCAATATAAACCAGTGAGCGGAGCAGTATAGTCGGACGGGGCCGACCATACGATACCGTACACAACTACCACTATCTTTCTGCGAATTTTTATTCCGAGCCGTGATAGCGTTAGTTGCACCCTCTTGCCCGATTTGAGGTCAACAGCACCTCTCCTTTACACTGACATATTTTCCGGATATAATCAATATTCAGTACAGCCCTTCTAATTACTTGTCCGTATTCCCTTCACCGTGGCTTGTGTTGTGATGTTCGGCTTATTACACTGTGCAGCACTAAAATCTTGAACCAATCGAGACCCCCAAAATCTTGAAGCTTGTGATGGTGGAAGAAAATCCCTAGCTGGGTTTTGCATTATTAGCTAAGGTTTTCTTTTAAATTAATTTTTAAAATATTCGACTGGAGGTGGATTTTAACAATTTTCGAATAATACGTACTTCTTACTGAGTCTATATTTCGTGAACTATTCGAAATATTGCTTTTCTCTCTTAGGCAATATTATTCCTCTTAATTAGAACTAAAAATTTGTTCTTGAGATAAAATCAATAAAACATCACCATCATACTGAAAATAGCACAACTGCAAAAAAATTAAAATTTCGACATACTTTTTCCATGTTTTTTCACACTTAATTCAGAAACTGTTACTGACTCGACCAAACAATATATGACACGAAGATAGCCAATAGCAAATCAAACAACTCTTCTTAAAACCCCGATTTCATTGGTTGACTCCTTCACATAGTTATAGCCTCACAAATTCATCAAAATGAACCAAAGAAATTCACTCCCAATTGTATGTTTATAGAAATAAAAATTGCTATGTTTTTTCAATAAATAGGTACAAAATTAAAGTAAAAATTAAAATGTTTGGGCCCTTTAGTTTTTTTCGAAGACAGGTCGCAGCGATATATGCACAGGGTAAACGCAGGAACTGGAGGTGCGACCTTAAAGTTGTCAATATTTTGGATGGCCAAAGTATTATTGCTTTTTGTGCCGTTGCGACACACGAGCAAAAGTCGATCACTACTCGCACACAGCAGAGCCACTAATAAAAACCAATAAGGAAAGTAGTAAAGTCGGACGGGGCCGACTATATTATACCTTTCACCACTTTGGGTATATTCAACAGATGAAGGACCAGTAAACTTAAATTGGATCCATAAACATGTCGTTCTGCAACCGATACTAAATTAGGGATTTTCTTCCACCATCACAAGCTTCAAGATTTTGGGGGTCTCGATTGGTTCAAGATTTTAAAGTTAAAAAATGTGTCACTGTGTTATTGTAGCCTATAGAATTAAAAAAAAAAACACACACAAAAAATAAGTTTTCGGTCCACTTCATCCCAAAATTATTATCTGATTATCACCGAAACATTTCAAAGTGATCTCCAGTGCGGTAATGGTTTATTAAATAATATCTGAATACGTTATCACCTGTAAATATTTACGTGTAACTCCCACATCCGAATACATACGACCTTATAATTGGTATCAATTTAAAGGCCAACCACTCCTATTGGATATACTATCAACTTATCGGCTCTATATCCTTCAGGAGCAAATTTATACAAATTTTGTAATTTTTCACACAAAAGTTTGGGTCCATTTGACCCGCTTAATATAGACCAATCTTTATCAAAAAAGGCATGCTTATTCTTAAGCCCGATACCTTTTTCCATGTAAAATTTCGCGACGTTCGGGCCATAATTCCGGCCTCTGGAGTGAAAAGAAAAACCGACAAAAATTTAGTATTTGGTCCATTTCATCCCCTAAATATTAACCGATCTTTACCAAAAATAGGGGTCTTCATTGGCCAGAACCCATCCTGCATGCAAAATTTCGTGAAGATTGGTCAATAACTGTGGCCTGTATCGTGTTTAAAAATTATAATGGACAGACGGACGGACTCACATGTCTAGATCGACTCAGCTAGTCGAGATATGAAGATCGGTATACATAATGGTGGGTCTAGGACCAATATTTCGCAGCGTTACAAACTTTTGGGGCTGCACGAAGCTATAATACCCTGACAACATAGTTGTGTAGGGTATAAATATTGCGATATCTATCGTGAATTCAACAGACCGACCGACACGAAATGACACATTTAATATACACTCCACCTAATGATAATCATCTTAACCTTTCTACTATGTTTGAACAAAATCAGATATATTATGTTGGGGTCGTATTGTGATCCACACATTTTCTTGAGAGAAAAACAGGGCAGAAGTATGTAATAAAGAAATAAAACCAGAAAGAAAAGTAGTAAAGTCGGATTGGGCCGACTATATGATACCCTTCAACCACTTTGGGTATATTGTACATATGTATCCTTACAAATGTCCTTACCAGACCGATTTAGAGTGGTCTGCGTACAATGGGACAAATTAATGGAAAACTATTTGTAGCTAAATTGATACAAGCTATTCGGTACGCGGCACTGTTAAAAATTTAATTTCAATCAAACACCCGTTCGAAATGCATATGGAAGCTATGGCTGCATCTGCACAAATTTCAACAAAACGCAATAACGTCATTCAAGTATCAATTTGATACGTTGTGCAAAAAATCGTGTTAATCGGACAGAAATTATGAGACAGAATATGTTAAATCGGACGAAAAAATATATGGGAGCTATATATAAAACTAAGCTGATTTTCACGAAACTAAACACACATCACTCTACTCTTAATTCAGTACGCTATGCAAAATTTCGTGCAAAACGAAAGATACATAGGGATTTTGGTGCACCATTTGCCTTTAATCGGTCGAATATATAAAAGGAAGCTATATCTAAATATGAACCGATTTTCACGAAACTTAGCACACATCATTCTAGAGTTAATTCAGTAGGCTGTGCCAAATTTCGTGCAAATCGAAGAATATTTAAGTACTTTGGTGCACCATTTACCTTAAATCGGACGAAAATATATAAGGGAGGTCTATCAAAATCTAAACTGATTTTCCCACAACTTGGCACACATTTAGTTAAAATCGGACGAAAATATTAATAGAAGCTATATGCATATTGGTCATATTTTTGGTCCTTGGAGCTTCATTTACTTTAAATCGGAGGAAAATATATATAGGATCTAGATCTGAATCTGAACCGATCCCAACAAAATTTGACACACATTGGACTACACTAATTTCAGTAAGTTGTGCAAACTTTTGTGTCAATCGGCCTAGCATGGGGTCTTTGTTGCATCATTAGGTTAAAATCGGACGAAACTATATATGGGAGCTACATCTACATGTGATCCGAACTATTTCAGTCCGCTGTGCAAAATTTTGTGGCAATTAGCCTAACATTGGGTTCTTGGTGCACTACTCACTTAAAATCGGACAACTTGAAGAATATGTATAGGGACCATGGTGCATAATTTGCTTTACCCAAAGAGGTGAAGGGTATCATATAGTCGGTCCCGCCTGCCTAACTGGTAACAAACAACTGACTGAATTGTCATAAACGGTGAAATCTTGGGAATATGGTCGTATAATTGATGGCCGTATTGATACGGGCATCAAGCATACGCTACAAAGTTCTACAAATAGACTTTGTGTTTTCGTTTATAACTTATCGAAATAAAGCACATATACAGCGATTTTTACATGTCCGTCTGTCTTTTGTAAAAACTCTAAGCGAATTGAGATATATAGCCACATTTTTGAACCCATGTTGATTTTTTTGAAAAGTTGGCCAGCTAAATACTGCACCACAAGGACATGTACAAATTCCTATCATTAACGAAAACGATTTACACATTTTAAATTTAATACCTCACCTAGCAAAAACTCTATAGAATAAATTTTCTACGAAAAAATCGCTTCTATAATAAACAATGTAATTATCATGATTAAGCACCATTACCCCCATTTAGTAAATAG